AAATTAATATATATATAATATAAAGTATATTTTGATTTATACAAATAGATTCCGTAACAGACCTTTAAGTGTCTTCAAATCTAAACTCTGATATAAATAGATTCCCTAAACGAACTAAAAATCGAAGTGCAAGTTAATAGCAATTCTTTTTGAAGGTCAAAAACTGAATTTAAATATATTCGTTTGGTTAAAGGGCTGTAAGTCTATGTATGTATATCGGAATAAGCGTATGTATTACTCTATTCATGGGATATATGAGTAGATGATACAATGTAACTGCTAGTGTAGGCTGAGAATCCAGATGAGTTGAAAGAAAGATGAGTTGAAATAAGATGAGTTGAATGAAAGGTGTGTCGAGAGAAGGATGATTCGAAAGGAAGATGAGTTGAAGGGAGTTGAGGCTTAAGAAAGATTACTTGAAGGAATTGGTGGGTTCGTTTAAGTCTGCATTTGATGTAGTATCATACTATAGTATCGTGCTATAAAAATTATAATCGTTACGGTCCCTGGTAGTATGTAAAAGTAAATCTCACACTTGAGGTGCTCGAGAAATATATAAGTATATAATTAATAATATATTTCAGTTTAAAGTCCTGAATTCCTGCCTGATGGATATCCAATAATCCCAACTATATTCTATTCTATTCTATTTTATTGATTGATGTTTTTTGTGATTCATGTACATAATACTGATATGTAGCTCTTTGAACTCATCAGTCCTTAATTAAGTCTCTTACCATACATAATATTTGAAAAATTCTAAAGAATTTTTCTTTTTTTTCCATCTAACAATTTAACGAAATATACATACATAGATGTATATATTTCTAATATTTCTATACTTAAGTTGAAACATAATTTTGTTACAAACAAGAAAAAAGAGAAAAGTAGATGAGAAAATAAATGAAATATAAATCATTCAGATCAATTGGCTGCCAAATTTAGCCTTGGAATGTCGACGCTTGAGAATGATGTCAGAGCCGAGCTTCGCGCAGAGAATTCGGCTGGTTTTGCGAGCTGGTCTTTGGGAACTGATCACCGTTAGATCGCAGTCTGCCTGTTGGCTGTCGGCGACACTTTTGCTTTTCCCAGCAGATCCGTGGGCGTTGCACTCAGCCCCCAGCCTCAAGCTCTCAGCTCTGGTCGAAATGTATAACATATGCATATGGATCAACGGCTTTCGCGTGATCAGCTTCAAGTGTCACTTTTCTTGTTGTTTTCCCTTCTTCTTTTTTTGGAAAGTTTCATGTTCGCCCACTAAAACAAGACGTTAACTGGAGGAGGCGCGCAAGCACGTTGTTAAATATTTACAAATATTTTTTTATGAATAGTTTTTTTTCGAATTGATGAGTTTGTGCTTGGGTTTCTTTTAGTTTTTTTTTTTTGTAGATTTTTTATTTTTTGTTATTTTTAGTATGATAATTATCCAAAGTACCAATAAGGCAAGTCAGCCCATATGGAGACGCGCTTTGTGCGGCGCGTGAGTTGGGCTAGAAGAAGCAGCAATAAATGAGTAAGGGCGTGCTAGACGTGAGTAAGCGACTGCTGTATACCCTGTATAAGAGATATGTGCAGTGAACGTAGTTTTAATTCTTAGAGTAATAGGCCACTAGTGCTGTAAGATCGATATTTATCGATATTAAATGCAAATTCTTGCTATAGTAATTCTCAATTCATATCATAAATACACGCACAAATGAAATTCTTGCCATAGTTATTCTCTATTCATATTGTCAATAGAGTCACACCTGTTATCTCTGTGAAAACAGCAGATAGAATATTTACATATAATTCTCTTTCAACAATTACAGGGTATTTACCAAAAAAACAAACAAACAACAACGACTTCAGAGTGAGAATTTGGTTGCTGTTTTCGTCTCTGGCTTGTAACACATCAAAATTCCACTCGCTATGAATCTAACACCAACTTTGGAGTCGACACTTCACACACCGCAGCAGCAAAAGAAAATGCTTTCGGACGTGGCCGGTGCGGCGTATACGCAACGTCGCGCCGCGTCGGCAACCTGTTTGCGTCAGGGCAGCCGCCCACACGCCCCACGGCAAACGGCACACGGCTCACCTAGCAGTTAGCCAGCTGGGCGGCTGCTTGGGCGAACCAGCTGAAACTTTCATCTAATGGGCAGAGATTGCTGTGCGGGCTGATGGTTAATGAGATGAGGCGGGGCTGATGCTGATGTGAGCTAGATCTGGGTTAGATGTTCACTTACCATTTTGAATCTGTTGCTCCTACCCGGCTTTGGCTTGGTTTTGGTTTTGGAATTGATATAGGATTTGGTATAGAAATGGAAAACTTGAACAAAAATGAAAAAAATACATAAGAATTTTTGTATATGGCTTTCGGCAGATAATTTATGTTAGCTGTCAAATCATAACTCAAAAGAAATTAATGAAATGACAAAGCCAGCTTATCGTAGTTCGCTCGCATGCTACGATATGATATGCTAGTCAAGGCAAGTGCTGGGAAGTTGCACAAGGAAATGGAACTTGAATAACATGTTCGACATACATATACGTATATACTCGTATGTATGTATCTTTGTATGAGCTAAGCAATCGATTGACATCGGCTTTGATAGTGGAGGCATCACTGCAGGCAGGGCCAGCTAAGCTCTTGACAGAGAGTGATTGGGTTGAAGCTGCCGACATGATGAGGAAGAAGAAGAAGCAGCAGCAGCAGCTCAACACTCAAATGACAAAATGACACACACGCACACAAACAAATAGGAAACACAGGCACACATGCTTAGAGTGAAACTTGTCAGACGAAATGAATATTGAGAACGGCCAACAAGCATACAAAAATTAATATTAATAAATTCGTTACAATTACATTTTTTTTCGTACAAATTTCAGTTGAGAATTTTTTAAGTGAAGCGTCCGAAAAACAGAAAGAAACCGAAACCCGTGGCTAACCGCGAACCGAACCAAACCGAGAGCGAAGCGAACGTACCGAACCGGCGAGCGTCGACCAAGAAACTGAAACTGAAACCGAAACGCAGCGAGCAGCGACAGCGAACAGCAGCAGTAGCAGCGGCAGCGACGTCGACAGCAACAAATGAACTCTAAGAGCCCGACAGAGATGAGCGCGCGCAGGCGCCGCAACCATGCTGTGGTCTATGCACAGCAGCAGCAGCAGCAGCAACAGCAACAGCAGCAGCAGCAGCAGCAGCAACAGCAACAGCAGCAGCCGTCACCGCAACAACAACAGCAGCAGCAGCAGCGCCGCAAAGCTGCTGGACAACAGGAGCGTCCAGCTGGCAGTCAGCTGAGCAGCCGCAGCAAGGCGCCGGCTGCTGCCTCCAAGCAAAGCTCAGCTCCGAGCAAGAACTGGATAAATAGCACGAGCATTGCCGTTGTGCCGCCAAGTCGCCAGACCAACAGCAACAACAACAACAACAAGAGCAATGGCAGAGCCAAGAAGCACACTCGCTGCACATCCGCCAGGGAGATGCAGCGGGATGTGCAGCGGCCGCCAGTGACGCCGCCGCCAGCGACGTCGCGTGTGGCATTTGGACGCAGCTGCCCCGGGGCGACGTCGACGATAACCATGACGCAGACGACAATGACAACACTGACGCGTCGCGGCGGCGGCGGCGGTGGCAACTCTGGAGGCAGCGGCAACCAGAGATGCCGCCAGGACACGCCCAGGCCAAAGCCGATGCAGGCGGCGCACGATCAGCTGGAGCTGCTGCTGACGCGCATCGAGCAGGACACGGTGGCGCCGCCGCCACGACGACGCAAGCCAGCGGCGGCGAGGACCGTGCGCCGTCAAATGGAGCATCCGCCGCCGGTGCCGACCGTGACGCCGCTCGGCAGCGCCCGGGGTCAGGATCTGAGCCGAACGCCGCGACCCAGCGAATACGTTGCCCACAACAGCACCGCCCACCTGAACGCGACCGGCGGCCATGCTGTAGTGCCGGATGGCGTCGTCCCGCTCACCCAGAATCCCCAAATGCTGGCGCCCGGGAAGCGCCAGGCCCTGCTCGATCTGCTGTCGCGCAGCGAGCCCCAGGACCAGGAGATCGTCAATGCCCTGCGCAGCGAGATCAGCATTGCCGGCGATCCCTCCACAGACGCCATGCGTCTCACCCTCCAGATGCTGTGAGTATGCAAAAACACACACACACACAAACACACAAATGGACGTGCATATACATATGTGTGTGTGTATATACATATATATATATATATATGTATATGGCCCATGTGTCTGAAACACCGCAGGCGGCGTCGTCGTCGGCCAATGATGTCATCATCGTCGTCGTCGTCGTCGTGCTCAGAGAGCGTCAGCTGCGCGCTCTCCAGCGTTTTGGCTTTGCCATTGCCATTGCCAGTTTCAGTTTTTTTTTTTTTTTTTCTGACTCTGCTCGCGCCTCACCTCAGCCTCAGCTGGCAATGCGCAGCTGACGCCATCGCTGGCGCTGCTTTCGAGTTACTCACCCAGCGGCAACTCCGCTGCCGTCTCCTCTGCCTCTGCCGCTGCCGTCGCTGCCACCGCTGCTGCTGCTGCTGCTGTTGGCATGCAAAGATTTTTGTTTTCGTTTGCTTTGTTTTTATTATTGTTTTCATTTTTGTTTGTCGCCCCCAGTTTGCGATTAGAAGTATTTACTACCAAGTGCTACCTACCTGACTACAGACACACACACACACGCACACACACACGGCGTGTCTCCTAGGCGCTGTTGGTTAGCGGATCACCTGACTGGATCAATCGGAGCTGACAGCTCCGACATTATCTAGCGGCTTGACCCCTATATCGAAGCGGAAACTTATCAATAGCAGACTAAAGACCCATTTATTTATGAGCACATAGATATACACATACATCTATATATACGTTTGCTTGAGAGACTTTGTGCAACCTTAAACCTGGAAGCTAAACAAACTGTTGGACCTGGTAGATGGGCAGATAGAGAGCACCAGCTTCATATGACTCAACAATGTTTATAATGCAGATATACACTATATACTATATACATAGATATACATATGTGAATGCATATGTAAACATTTACTTAATGGGGGCCAGTGGAACACACGAAACATTTATGCTGATATACGAAAAATCGTAAGACTTTGGATAACATTTACCCATCTACATGAAGTGCTATGGTATTCATTTGTAGTAATATATACTACCTCGATCTTTGTGTTTCTCTCTCTCTACTTCAATATATCTGTATATCTCTACACATATTTCTATATCTATTTCCTTCCCACTCCCTCCAACTGCTTATTGAATTGTATATCAACTCACTCGATCCCCACACAATCTGCAAACATATCTAGTTGTATTAGTACTTTATTTATTTTTCACACCTCTTTCTCTCTCTTTCTCTCTCTCTCTCTCTCTCTCTCTCTCTCTCTCTCACTCTCTGTGTCTGGATTTCTCAATTTGTCTGGCTCTCTCTCTTTTTCTTTCTAATTCTATGCTAATTAGGTTTCAAATAATATTAATAATAATAATAAAACCTTACCTATTCTCTCTTATAATGCCTCTTGCTTTCCTCTCTCTTTCTTTCAAGCTTACTTTCACTCTATTTCGCTCTCTCCAACTATTTTGTTTACTTTATTTCATATCAAATCACCTTAACCGCTCATATGAATCTGTTATCATATCCAGTATTATTATAATAGTAGCTATTGTCTCTGCCTCTCTCTCAATCAGTCCACTCCCTTTCTTTTTCTTTCTTTTTAACTTTATCCCCCGTATATAGGCAACAATCGTATCTAATTGTATTAGCACTTTACCTATTCTATCACACCTCCCTCCCTCCTTCTCAATCACTCTCTCTATCTGCCCCTTTGCTTATTTAATTTTATATAATATATTTAAGTCAATAACAACTTTGATATTCATGTTGAGAATTCCGATTGCTCCACTTCATCAAATTTCTTAGGCTCTTATACCTTGCTCTCTCTTTCTATATATATTTTTGTTTCTATCTATCTTTCTCTCCCTACCTCTTTCTCTCTCTCTCTCTCTCTCGCTCTATCTCTCTTTCTGTCTTTCTGTCTTTCTTTCGGCTGGGCAGAAATATGAAACTTCATTTGATTCTCTTAATTTACGACGTTTCCTGGTTTGTTTATGCCTTATCTGCAGATACTGGAACTTTTGCTGCCGACCATTTGTCATTCATAAAAAAAAACAAAAACACAAAAAACAGAATAGGTGTCTCAGCACATTCAGCGGGGATTTTATGCTCAAACAACGACCAACGCACTGAAGTCCATATCGTTCCCAGAAACTGAAAAAACAACCAAATTTTTGGTATTATTTGCCACAATTTCTAGTTTGATATGCAGGCTTCTGGGTATTGTAGTCGCGTAGCGCATTCCTCTAGTCAGCCTAGCCGGAGCTAGGGCCCCACTCGCGCTCTCTTTGTCAACTTCAAGACCTGGGCTAGCCTCTCCATCCGCAATCCCGCCCCTGTCAAGGCGCTGGCCAACTGTTTTTCTTTATTTTGACGTCGAGTTCGGCTGATATGAGAAATTCTCTCGTAACTAAATACGACGACCTCCAATCGACAACTGTTTGCAATTGAAATTCGCGCCGGCTTCTGCTTTTTTTCTCTTTTTTGCCACATTTGCTGTTTCTTCAAGATAAAATTTGCAAAACAAATTCCTAACAACTAATAATACCCAAATGTAGCGCCATTCACTGTAACACTCGGTTGCTGCCAGCCTCAGTCCAGTCGGACTGCTGCGCCTTTGCTTTGCCCTTTAGAATCTATCGATAACGCAAACTACTTCGACTTGGGCGTGGGGTGCGCTAATATCGCTGCTGCTGCTGCTGCTGCGTTTTATTTGTTTGATCAATAAATTTGCTCCCCTGCAATCAGCGCGCCCCAAGCGTAACGACCGTGCCCGGGTTAGCCCCGTCGCCGCTTATTAATGAACTCTTCGACGACGCTCCAGCGCTCCACCGCTTCAGCCTGATTGTGTCATATTATTTGCGTGCAGTTGGCGAGCTGACAGGTAGAGAAGCGCAGGTAGGGGAATTCGTTTGCCATTAGCATGGCAAGCTTTAACCTCAGTGACCCAGACCCAGACCCAGACCGAGACCCAAGTGGATGCGCCATCAAATACACTAACCCAAAGTTGTTTGCTGAAATAATGATGCCTAGCTGAAGATAGATTTTAAGCTGCAATTCCAATTGGGCCTAAGCAATATACATATGTATGAACCTATCTCCATATCTGTATATCAACATACAAAACTTGGCCTGTCTGTGCCACTGATCGACTATCCTCAACACGTCTTATTCACTTCTAATATATACAGTATGA